CACTTTCTCTCTTGGTGATTAGGTATGGGTTCATTTGAGAAAGGATATATTTCCTTTTCAAAGGAAACTTAAACTCAATCCTAGAGGAGATGGTCCATTTCAAGTCCTACACAAAATAAATGATAATGTATATGGGATTGATCTGTCTAGTACTTATAATGTTCATTTATACCTTTGTACAAAAAAAAGTAGAGTACGTTCTTTGGCTTGTATTTTGCCTTTCTTTTTTCTTTTTCTTAGTTTTTGTTGCAGAGAAGCTTATATATTCTTCTTTTCTTTAAAGTGCAAGCAATGTGAGACTTCACATAATTTTGGACTTAAATGAAAGAAGAATAAATAAATCTCTTCTTATTTTAGTTGCTTGTATTGCAAGATATCTTATGTATAGTTTTAGTTTTGAGCTTTAAACTAGCTAGATAGCTTATATACCCTTAGGAGGTTGTCGAATTAAGAGATGTGGGACTTAAAACAACCTTGAGAGTTGTTGTCCATACTTGAAGGCCTCTAAGTCCCACATCCTTTAGTTTTCTCTACCTACTTCATCTCCTAGTGCTATATAAGAAACCTAAGATCTCCTTTGTATGTACACCTTCAAAGTTGAATATAAAGAGTGTTTTTCATTCAATTACATCACTTCTTTGAGATAGAGTTATGTCTCTTAGTCTAAATTTGGATCTTATTTTGTGAAAGTGGATCCCCCTTGGCATTTATCTTGGATCATTTTAAGTGGTATGCTTTCCAATTCAAAAGTTTCCTCTCTTTTCTCTCTTACATTTTCAGTCTTTCAATTCCATTTCTTAATTTTTCTTATTTAGTTCTTAGGCTTATTTCTCTCTAGGCATGTTGTTCCATATCACAATGGAATTACCCCAACACAAGAATGTCGTTGGTGTAATATGCTTATTCTGCAATAAGCTAGATGAAGATCGAAAAGTTGTTCGAAACAAGGCCAGACTGGTTACCAAAGGATATTCACAACAGGAAGGTATAGTACATAAATATTTTGCTCTCGTTGCAAGGTTAGAAGCTATTCAAATATTATTATCCTTTGCTGCTTTTCATAAAATAAAGTTATATCAAATATAGAGCTGTCAAAATGGGTCACAACCCGCGAGCCAACCTGGCCCACCACGGGTTTGAGCCAGGTTGGGTTAGAAAAAATTGTATTTTTTTTATGCGGGTCAGATTTCAACCTGGCTCGTTTAAACCCGGCTCATGCTGGTTGAACCCATGGTGGGCCGGGTTGGCTCACCAACCCACCTACCTAATTTTATTTTATTAAAATTTAATTTTAATTTTATAAAAAAATATTTATTATTTTGTTTTTGCTTGAAAAAATTATTTAAGTTCCTTATTTTCAAAATTAATTAAACACCCATGTTGGGATTAAAATTTGGGAGTCAAATTTTTTTAAATTTGTATTATAGAAAGTTTGTATTTTTTTATTTAAAAAAAATTATAATTAAGTGAGTTAGTCAGCCAACCCGTTTATCCACCAACCCGTGGTGGGTCGAGCCGGGTTCGAATTTTTCTGGCTCGCTAATAAATGAGTCGGGTTGGGTTGGCTCATTAAGTGACCAACCCGTGGTGGGCTGGGTCGGGTCGGGCCGGGTGGCCCGTTTTGACAGCTCTAATCAAATGGATGTGAAAAGTGAATTTTTGAATGGTGAAATCAAAGAAGTATATGTAAAACAACCTCCATGCTTTGAGTTTTTTTTATCCAAATCATGTTTTCAAACTAAAAGCATTATATGGTTTAAAGCAAGCTCCCAAGGCTTGGTATGAATGCTTAAGTTCCTTCCTTATTAAAAACAACTTTACAAGAGGAAAAGTAAACACAACATTGTTTCGAAAATATGTCAACTATGATTTCATTATAGTACAAATTTTTGTTGATGATATCATTTTCGGTGCTATTCACAAAGATCTTTGCCTATATTTTTCCAAGATGATGCAAGATGAATTTGAAATGAGCATGATGGCTAAACTAAGATTCTTTCTCAGGTTGGAAATAAAACAAGAGGTAGATGCTATATATGTGCATCATACAAAATATGTCAAAGAACTGGTTAAAAATTTCAATTTGGAAAATTCTAAGGAGATGAAGACTCCAATGCACCCAACTACAACACTTGGTATGTGCTTTAAAGGAAGAGAAAAGTATATGCTATAGTGATATTGTGATGCTGATTATGCTGGAGACAAGATCGAAAGAAAAAAGCACAAGTGGAGGATGCCACTTCTTAGGTGGAAACTTAGTCTCCTAGTCTAGCAAGAGGCAAGGAACGATTACTCTATCAACCGTAGAGGTGGAATACATATTAGCTACAAGTTGTTGCTCAAAAATTCTATGGATTAAGAATCAACTAGAAGATTACAGTCATCAATATATTATGAGTCCTATTCTTTATGATAATGAAGCTGCTATTAGTTTGCCTAAAAATTCCATGTTAGCATTCAAGAGCTAAACACATTGAAATAAAACATCACTTTATTCGTGATTATGTTCAAAAAGGAATTATTGATTTACAATATGTGAATATTGAGGAACAAATTTTTGAAATTGGTCAACTTTGTCCCTAGTTTGGTTGGCAAATCCCAATTAAAAAATCCTTTCTAAATAAAATCCTTTCTTCCTTAATTTATTTCCTAATTAACCAACACTTAAGCACATTTTTTGACACGTAATCAATAAGTAGTGCCACGTCATTAACCCATTAACTCCGTTTGGTTATACTTAACAGAAGGGACTATTTTGACTCAAAAATTTAAAAGTAAGGACCAATTTTAAACATTTTTATAAAAAGGGACTAAATCTAGATTTGCCAACCAAACTAGGGACAAAGTTGGCTATTAAACCAAAGATTTAATTATTTGATAAAGCTTTTGGGCATGACACTTATGGAGTGAATGTTTAAGTCAATGTGTCTATTGCTTATGCATAACATCTAGTTTAAACACTACAAAAAAAATATTATTTAATGGAGATTATTTTGTGGAGGTTATAAAAACCCTCCACAAATAAACATTATTTAAAATTATTACAATGAGTTGTCTGATTGCTAGTAATTGTAGGGGTTTTAGTTTTTCTTTTAAGAGGTTTATAACCTCCTTAATTAAAAATTTAAACCTTCCCACTTAACATCATATTTTCCAAAAAAATTCCCCCTTTTTTTTCCTTTTTCCTAAAACCTAAGCGGGAGTTTAACTTATTCACCAAATCCTTGCTCCCAACTTTCATCAGACTCTTGCTCCAAAATATCTCTTCCTATTTCCCCCCAAATCTCAACCCCCAATTTTCACTTCAGTTTCGTCCAAAGTTTAGCAACTTCCGTTCCACTCATAGCAACTCACATTTTGTTCTGTGTAGTCGTTGTCTAGGTTGAGCGAAGTGTGGTCGCCGGCTAGGTTCAGCAAAGTGTGGTCGTTAGGCCAGGTGCGGAAGCCAGCTCACGGACAGGTTTAATTCTTCAACCTAGTATTTTTATGAACCCTCTTTTTTCCCCGACATCGATGGTGTACTAGAAGGTTCTTGCTTTAAATTTATATACATTCCTTTTGATTTAAAATTGTTGTTGATAATTGTCTGGTGTGTGCTCTATTCGGTGAATGAAAGGGAAATTTTTAAAGAGTTTTTTTAGTAGATGAATGAATCATTTTAGGGATTATTCTCTAACTAAATTTATATATTGTTTAAGGTTAATATACGTCTGAATTGGAAATTAACTATTGATCATTTGTTTGGTTGGCAAGTGACTTTGTTTTAAAGTTATATGCAATGGGAAAATAAATAAGTATGTTTAGTGCTATCAAATTAATAAGTATGAACGTACCTGTGAAGAAACATCATCAGCATTCAGTTGTTCAATCTTGTCAGCCATTAAGGGTATAATTGTGATTTTAGTTTTGAACAGAGTTGTTGATTGCATTTGTAAATGTAGAGGTTTTCTTCCTTTTGTGGTCCAACACGTCTTTCACCATCATGGACAACATGGCAGCCTGTGAGGACAATTGTCCTGTTCCCTTATCTAATTACAGCTTTGATCAAACTCCCTTTACCTACAGTTCAAAAAATTGGAATCTCTCTTTCTTTTATAATTGTTCCAGAGAACCATTGTTTTTTATTGTATATTTATTTGCTATTTGAAAATTTTGTGCTTTAAAAATTGGAATCTCTCTTTCTTTTATAATTGTTCCAGAGATGCTTTAAGTATGGTGATGATTGTATTGGTTATTGCCTGGGGGTATTGAAACTTGGTTACTGAAAAAATATAATGGAATAGTGAGGAAAAGTTGGTGTTTTAGTGCATATAAAACTAGTTCTCTTATATGGTTTTAAAAACAAATTATCACTAGGCATGAATAAGTCTTGGAGCAGTGGCATATTTATGTTGGTCAAAATGATTGAATACATAAGTTGTTGAAACTAACGCATGATACAATAGTTGGTGCAATGTTTATGGATTGTTTTTTAATATATAATTGGTTATTTAGTTTTTTAAGTCAAGGTATAATTTTGGAAAACTATGATATAAAAGAAAAATTGACACTTAAATCTCTTTTTTTAAGTAATAAACTAACCTTTTATAACTTGAAAATCTATATCTCTTTAATATTTTAATTATTTTGGGATATGAGTTTTTACCCTCTAAACCTATTACTCCAAAGCTTACCACCAATTACAAGTAATGCAATATAAGCTTATAGTTTCAGCTTTTCTCCTAAACCACTTTGTAGGTAGTTCACAGATACAAACGTGCTTATTAATAAGCTGGTGTTACAACTAAGCTTGGGAGGTATTGTGTTATTACTGTGTTACTGAGTTGTTCTACTATTTGACTGCCATCAAACTTTGGAATCTCACAATTACTAAGGTTAGTACATTTAATTTCATTTGAAAACATTTTATTTATTAATTCAATCTTTGTTTGTATATTCCATGAATATTGTTATCTTTTTGATGTGGTAGTGTATTTCATTTTGTTTAGGAATATTTTTGAATGGATAAATCTTGGATTGCTAAACCTCGAAATACAATTGAATACTCTTTTGGTTTAGAAAAATTCTTAAATTTTGCTTTTGAGAATGGGGCTATTGGAGATACAATTCGATGCCCATGTCCCAAATGTGGATTTATGAAATGGCATAATAGAGTCGAAGTTCAAGAGCACTTGATCTTAAAACAATTTCCTAAAAATTATGTTATATGGAATCTTCACGGTGAGAAACAAACAAAAGATATTTCAAGAAATGAAGATGATATACAAGAGACATTTCATTCTGAAAATCCAATGGAAACAATGATAAATGAAGCATTTGGGCATTATAGGCAAGAAGGTACTAATATAGGTTCACAACATGTGGGTGTAAACAATGTTCTGAATGAAAGGCCAAGGGAGAATCATAATGAATTTAATGAATTTCTCAATGATGGAAATCAGATCTTATGTGATGGGAGCAAGTACACAAAATTAGAATTTGTAATCAAGTTATATCATATCAAGGTTTTGTGTAGATTAAGTGACAAGGCAATGACTATGATCTTAGATTTGTTAAGAGATGCATTTAGTGAAGCAAAGTTGCCTCTTTCTTTTTATGAGGCTAAGAAAGTCATCAACAAACTGGGTCTTAACTATACCAAAATAGATGCATGTCCGAATGATTGTATGTTATATTTAAGAGATGATGAAAAAGATTTGGACACATGCAAACATTGTGGTACATCTAGATGGAACCCAAAGAAGAAGAAGAAAAAGCAACCTGCTAAAGTTTTACGTTACTTTCCATTGAAACCAAGATTGCAAAGATTGTTTATGTGTTCTAAGACTGCAAAGCATATGAGATGGCATTCTTTAGATAACAAGGATGGGTTTATAAGGCATCCAAGGGATGGTGAGGCATGGAAGACATTTGATTTAATGCATCCAGAATTTTCTTCTGATCCTCGAAATGTTCGCTTAGGCCTTGCTAGTGATGGTTTTAATCCTTTTGGCACTATGAGTTCTACCTATAGTATTTGGCCAGTTTTTTTAATTCCATACAACCTTCCACCCTGGATATGTATGAAGCACACTTCATTGATCCTATCCATGATCATTCCAGGCAAGCAAATGCCTGGAAATAATATCGATGTCTACTTACAACCCCTTGTGGATGAGTTACGTGAGCTATGGAGTGATGGAGTGGACACCTTTGATTCTTCACTGAATGAAACTTTTAGAATGCGAGCTGCTCTTATGTGGACAATTAGTGACTTTCCTGGCTTAGGTATTTTATCTGGTTGGAACACACACACAGGTTTAGCTTGTCCTACTTGTAACTTTGATGCAGAACCTTGTCGTCTTCCTCATAGTAGGAAGTGGTGTTTTATGGGGCATCGTCGCTTTTTAAGTAGAAACCATAGATTTCGATTGAATCGTGTTCGTTTTGATGGAAGCACTGAAGAACGGAATCCACCACTAAAATTATCAGGCTCTGACATTTTTAGGCAAGTGGAAAATATTAATGTCACATTTGGGAGAGGAATTCATTTGGATGGTAGAGGAAAAAGATATAGAGAAGAAGTTAAACAATGGAAAAAAAAAAGCATTTTCTTTGAACTTCCATATTGGGAGTCTAATTTGTTACGCCACAATTTAGATTTTATGCATATTGAAAAAAATGTATTTGACAATATTATGTATACTTTGTTGAATGAAAAGCCTAAATCCAAAGACAATCTTAATGCTAGGAAAGATTTAAAGGAAATGGGTATAAGACAAGATCTTTGGCCACATGATAATGGAAGATATCACCTTGCTTTGTTTTCACTAACTCGTGATACCAAAAAGTTGTTTCTCAAAACTTTGAAAAATGTATTAGTACCGGATGGTTACTCAAGTAACATTTCTAGATGTGTTGATGAGGTGCAACATAAAATATTAGGACTAAAAAGTCACGATTGCCATATTATTATGGAGCAATTACTACCATTGGCAATTCGTAACTTGTTACCAAACCATGTCACTGCAACCTTGGTGGAGTTTTGCTCATTCTTTAAAGTCCTTTGTACTAAAAGCTTAAATCTACAAGAACTTGAAATGCTTCAAGATCGCATTGTGGTTACACTTTGCCACTTAGAGATGTTATTTCCACCATCATTCTTCACAGTTATGGTTCATTTAACTGTCCATCTAGTAGAAGAAGCAAAGCTTGGAGGTCCTGTTCATTATCGATATATGTATCCTATAGAGAGGTAATGCTTAGTACTTTTTGTTTAAGGTATCATATATATATCCAAGTTGTTTAATGTAACTATTTGTCATTATTATAGGGAATTAGGTCATTTAAAGACATTTGTACGAAACAAGGCACAACCAGAAGGTTCTATAGCCGAGGGATACTTAGCTGAAGAGTCTCTTACCTTTTGTTCTAGATACATTGAAGATATAGAGACAAGGTTCAATAGACCTGGACGTGTTTGTGATAACCCAGATGATAATGAGCCTATTGAGTCATCTATATTCCCACAAGCTGGGAGGGCAGTAGGAGGTTCCTCGATGTTTACTTTAACTCAGATGCAAAAACTACAAGCCCATCGATATGTGCTTTTAAATTGTGCCATAGTCACACCGTTTGTTGAGTGAGTAATCTACATTAAGTGTGTGATTTGTATTTAAACAAATTCAACTATATTAGTCATCCTTTTTTATTATATTGGAATAAATTCATGTAGTGAATTTAAAGAACTAATAAAAAGAAGATCAAGAGGAAGGCGACCTTCAACCACTGAGATAGAAACTAGAGTGTTTAAAGAGTTTGTTGATTGGTTTAAACAACGGGTAGGTGATCAAATAGTACACTTTTTGTTGTTTATTATGTTATCTTTCAATTCTGACTAACATAATTTCTTTATTTAGATTATGAATCCAGAAACAGTAAATACAATGTCTATGGACTTGAAGTTTCTAGCACGAGGTCCATTGGATAATGCTAGAAGATTTACTGCATACAACATCAATGGGTTTAAATTTCGAACATTGACTCGAGATGAGGGATTGAGAACACAAAATAGTGGTGTTTTTTTAACATCTAATACATCTTGTGTTTCAAGTAGTGTTGATAGGAACTTAAGGCAAGCAGACTTACCCTATTATGGAAAGTTAGAAGATATCATTGAGCTTAATTATTATGGCCGATTCAAAGTTGTTCTTTTCAAGTGTAAGTGGGTAGATACAACACGAGAGAGAGGATATAGAAAGGATCAATGGAATTTTAATTGTGTTAACTTTGATAGACTTATTCATATTGGAGACCGTGAAGAACATGAACCTTATATTGAGGCATCTCAAGCACAAATGGTATATTATGTTGATGATGTTGTTAATAAAGGGNGTATGACTTTTATCTTTTGAAATTTTTCATTTTTTTATAAATGTTAACACACTAACTATGTTTTCTTCTTTTCAAAAGCCTCGATTTTGTTTTAGGATAGCTGAAGCTAATGCACAACGATATTGTAAATTAACTCTTGGTAGAAAATGGGCTGCACATAGGCAGAATTTATGGAATGAGTTTTATGATCCAGCGAAAACCAAAGATCAAATCATAAGTAATGTGCCAACTGGTATAGAAAGAACTCAATGGGCTCATTTTGTTACTTATAGTCTAAAACCAGAAACACTGGTATAAATTTCATTATTTTGAATGGTGTGAATTGTTTGTGTACTTAATTTATTTTATTGGTATATTAACTTACAATTGTTTCTCTCATAGGAGATGTGTAAAAAAAAATAGAGAAAATCGCAACAAGCAACTAACTCCTCATACAGGTGGTTCTAAACCTTTCTCAAGAAAAAGGCATAAGATGGTAGGGATATTAGTAAACATGACAGTTTTTACTATTTTTCAAAGTTTACTATTTATTTTAACTTCTTCTTTTTTACATTTAGTTTATGGAAACTGGACAACTGCCTAGTCGTGAAAAACTATACATTGAAACTCATAAAAGAAATGATGGATCATTTGTAAATGACGCGGCAAAAGATATAGCGGTTAGTTCTATTATAATATTATATTTTCAAATATGTTTTTTTTTCAATATTTAGACTTTTAATTGTAAATTGTTATATGCCTATAGGAATAAATTGAAGTGGGTTTGACTCAAAGTACTACCAATGAATCAGAGGTTTCTCCTAATGATGTTGTTGGTAAAATGTTAGGCCTAAAGCATTCTGGGAGAGTGCGATGTATGGGTTTGGGAGCAACTCCTACTAATGCATTTAGGAATACAAGACTTCGACTTTCAGATTTAAGTCTTGCTTCATCTACCACTGTCCCATCATCATCATCTTCTAATCAGTGGCAACAAAAGTGCAACAATTTAGAATCAGCATTTAAAGCATACATGATAATGAAGGAAGGAAAGATTCCTGATGAATTGATCTCATTCTTTGATCGTCAACCTCAAGTAAGTTACTAAATATAGTTGAAGAATTGTGCCTAATATACTTTAATTATAAGCATTCTTTAATATTAATATTTTTGTTTTATCATTTAAGAAAGGTGGTGATGCAAATGAGCCCGAGTCTACTTTGGATACAATAGGATCATCTGGTGCTAGCAACATTTAGGGAGTTTATGATGTCCTTTAGGATGAAACTATATTTAGCCTATGGATTTTGAGTAATTATGAATTTAGTTGTAATTATGATTCAATTTAACTTACTATTATATAGTATGGTGATTTTGAGAATTGAATGTTTTAATGATATATAATTCAAGACTTTGGTAAAAGAAGTTTGTCATGCTTGTTTGTCTTTATTATAGTATTTGAATTTTGTTACAAATAAATATTGTTGACAAAAATATAAGCATCTTAATGGTGATATATGTAAGATAAGCAAAATAAAGTTGTAAACTCACAACCTAAATAGTACAAATGAGGCGACTTAAAACATTTAAATTATAATTGTCAAATTGAATATGGTATTAATCTAAAAAAATTTGAGAAAAGCGGGGTTAATCTTTACACTAAAATAGAGTAAAATAAAAGAGGTTTTAAACCTCTACAAAATAATAGTCACTAATAGAAGAGGTTAAAACCCTCAACAAAAAGATCTCTGCAATATAAATTGGATACCAGGGGTCATTGAAAACCCCCGCAAATTAATAACGACGACTCTAATTGCGGAGGGTAAAAACCTCTGCAAAATGGAAAATAAACCTCCACTAAATAACAACTTTTTTGTAGTGAAAACATCTGAAGATATTTCGTCTAAAGATGTTATAGTCATTTGTAGGGATGACAACGGGTCAGGTCGGTTACGGATAGTGCCTCCCACAACCCGACCCGCGTAGATAAAACTGTACCCGTTATCCGACCCACTACCTGCGTGAGTACCCATTTAAAAAATACCCACAGGTACTTTAAAACTCGCGGTTACTCGCAGATACCCGTAAAAAATAAAAATAAATATTTTATACATTTTTAAAATAAAATTTAAATAAAATTAATATATATATATATAATATTAAATTAAATATAAATTAAAATTTAATTTTAATTAAATTTAACCTAATTAAATATAATTTTATTTTATTTTTATTTAAATTTAATCAAAAAATATATAAATTAATTTTTTTTATTTTTTCTGGGTAACAGGTACCTGCGGGTCGGGTAATATACTACCCGTACCCGACCCGTTTAGAAGCGGGTATTAAAATACCCGCTACCCATTACCCGCGGGTAGTAAATATTCACGGATAGTAACTACCACTACGGATTTTACTTGCGAATTTTGTCATCCCTAATCATTTGCATCGTGTAAGACATATCATCTGAAGAAACTTCATATTACATGCATAAAGGTGTTTAGTACTAAGCCCAACATAGGTAGCTTAACGTAGGACCTTCTAAGATAGAAGAAAAATCTAGAGATAATCTCAAATCTCTAACAAATCTACCTAACTGTACAAATGCATTAATTGCGATTTAATGGCAATTATGACCCCTTAATCATCATTTCCGAAAAACTTTCACCTCTCTCACAAGTAACCAACTCCTTCTATTTATAAAATCACAACCTGAATCTCAATTCATTCACATCTCCTTGTTATAAAACCCTAGGTCAAGAAAACTCAAAGAAGAATTTTGTTATCCTTATCTCTCACTCTCAATGCTCACAATTAGGAACTCTAAAGTCTCTACCAATCTCATAGGACTCAACCTTGCATATTGGATCAATCCAAAAGAACTCATAGGCCAATGGAATTTAATGAACAAGAAAACGATGACTAAAGGCTCTATGAAACGTTGGTCCTCCTCAAGCTTATCTGACAAATTATGCACAGAAAACGGGGAAGTGAATCCGACAAAGCCCTCTAGTGTCAATAACATCATCTCAAACTGTCACTAATCCTTTGTCCCATCCACTCCCTTCAATATTTTCTTCTGCTTTCTTAGGATCATGATGCTTTCCTTCCTCCCTTACCCTTTTCATATTTATCAAATAAGGGGGAGAAGGAAATGATAAACACCTTAGGTTATTAAACTTATGGGGAGTTTATAGCGAGGGAAAGTTTACAACTAGGAGTGAGAAAAATAAAGAGCATGCATCCATTCATGTAAACATGTTTACTTGATTAAATATAAAATATATCCTTAATGATCTAAATTTATCTTAAAGACTCAAAGATAAAGCAAATGCACTAAATAAAATGAAGAAATACTCAAAGAAAATCAAAAAGCAAATGGTAGAAACACAAATGATTACCTAAAAGCTTTGAACCAAACAAGAAATAAATGAAAACAAATTAAATCAATCAAAACACATCAAGAAATGTAAATAAGATATGAACAATACGAAATTGAAAATCAAATGGAGGAAAAGCACTAAGATCTTGTAGAATGTGAGCAACTAAGGCTCTAGATAACAAATGATGGCCTTCCTCCAAGCTTGCTCGTATCCATGGTGGAAGATGATGAAGGCATAAGGCTGAGTGGTTTAAAAGCTAAGAGAAGGATGGAGGATTGAGGTGTTTTGGTTTATTTTATCTTAAGGAATCCTAAGAGAGGTGAGACCAACTCCTGGAAAGAAAGCTAGAGTAGTCTAGAGAATATTCTACTCTAAGGTGAGTCCAAACAAGAGGCATGTGCATACAAGTGGGAAACATTTCATTACTCAAACTCAAGCTAAAAAATACAAAGGGAGAGACTTTTATTTACAAGACAAGAAATCCTAAAGTGGTCTCCGAAAAGGAGATCCAAAATTGAATTCAAACTAGTCTTAAAATTTGAAAAATGACGCCAAAAGAGAGCATGTTTAAGGTGTGACTTGCCAGCTAAGCACTCACACTCTCCTTACCGTTTTGAGTACAAGGAGGCGACTTACTCTCCAAGTTTGTGTCAAATTAGGGTTTAAGAAAACCTAATTCATGCAGTCCAACCTCAGCCCAGAGTTAGGCGTATATCATTTTAGGCCTAAATTAGACTATTAGTCCTAAGCCCAAACTATGACTTAATAGAAGGCCCCAATAAATTCTATGCTACTAGGTCCATAATACAAAGCCTATAAAATATTACTACTCTAATATTTAAAAAAGAATCTGATATTAGGTCTTCACATCTTCCTATCCCAAATGAACATCAACTTGGGCTTGCTTAGTTCAGGTGAAACCTAATATTCTTTAATCATTCTAGCCATGGTTGGGGCATTTTCTATTAAGAGGGTGGATACTTACAAACACTTTGATGCTCAAGTTAGTCAATATAATCTAGGTAACCCGGATAAGTGAATAATATTCAAGATACCCTTTACTTGAAAAGTGAGACCCTTTATATACCTATGACCCTAATTAATTATGTTAAATTGTTTTAGGAAGATTTAAATATGCTAGTAAATGCTAATGAATGCCCTGTCATAAAGGCGGGAAGAGTCATTACCATATTGTCTAGGTTGACATGATGTTGAGAATCTATGACCATAATGATCATCGGTCGCACATAACTACTAATGTGTTATCGACTAAGCTGAACTTAGTCTAACATAGTGCAATTGTGTTCTTGGATGAGATGATCTCGATATTGTATAATACAACTTATATTTTTGAATTATTAAATATTATTTAATATCAAGAAGTTTGTGTGTTTGTTCGCAATTGATAAACTTTACCTAAAAATAATTGAAATTAAATACTTTATCCAAAAATATATTTAAATGAAATAATTTGAAAATAAAGAAATTTGATGTATTTGACTTTCTTAAAAAATTGTAAAATTTTTGTTTCCTAATATATGTAACTTGTCTTATTTGGTGAACCATGATAAACTTGTAATATTATACTTTTTTTTAATTGTATGATGAAAAAGAAAACCATATTAACACATTTATACTTCATACTGTCAGGTGTAATTAGTTGTTTCTTTACAAGTATAATTGATAATTGTAATAAAAATGTTTTTTTGACGACTAGTAGTTTGTTTTGGTTTTTAATGTAGGTATTCACTATCATGATTATATTAGGTTTTTAAAATGAAAATATTATATATACTATTCTTTTCAATTTCTCTATTATAAATTTTTTTTTCTATAGTATTAGAGTAGGCTAATCTTGTAATGATTTACAAGTGTTATAAAATTCTTTTCTCAGTGTTTGGAAGGTTTTTTTAATTAAAGTCTGGAGAAATAAGTTTTTCTTAACATTTGAAGGATTTATGAATTCTTAGAAGAATTTGAACCAAAATTATTGACCAAAGAAACCATAGAGGAAACATACAGAATAAAAGTGTAAAAATAAAAATGTAAAATGAAAAGGAAATGGATAAGATAAGAAAGACGGAAAACATATCACCTTTGAAGAATCACACATTGTTTTATATGAGAAGCAGTTCAAGACAAGAACTTAAGAGTACCAAATTCTCAAGACACTTAATCTCACAAAATATTCAAGTAATGTTATATTTCAAGTATGTAAACCAAAGGTATGTACTGAATGTTAAACAACTAGGGTGTCTGACATGTATTGGCGGAAAGTTCATGAATGAGATGAAGATGCAAACCATTTTTTATTATGGAATCATGAGATGGTTGGGTGCATAACTTAACTCTAACTAGTTGGAGTTAGTTTGTAACTTGATTTGTGTTTGGCAGTTTGCTCAAAATACATGCAATTAGCTAGATGAATTTGTTGATAGTCTCAACTAATATTTTGATATAACATTTTTTTGTCCTAACCATTTACTTAGATAAAATTATTAGTTCATTAAAGTTTGATGTTATCTGTTATGATAAAAACAATTAGGTTATCTTGTCAAAAAAATTTCTGGATTATTAATTACAGGTGAACAAATAATACGAGGTTTAAGAATTAATTAACGGCATAATTTCAACAAATTACAACTTGTTAGTAATTTATTGATATTTAAAATTATTAAATCAATCCATTATTTATAATTTTAAAATATTTAAATTTTAAAAAGTATTTATACAAATTTGAAATTATTAATGTATCGTATGACCGACCAGTCATCTCTTAACTGGACGATCAACGCTCCTAGATGAACACTTGATTAAAGGGTCAACATTTTCATCATCGCTTGTTCTCTACAAACTAAATGGTTACCCCAAAGAGTGACTCGTTCGGTCAAACACCCATTAGGCGTCTACATTATTAATTGAACACAATTACAGGTAAAACACATTTATGGACTTTTGGGTTGCAATTAGGTCAACTGCATATAAAAGTCTATTTTGAAACCTATAAATAAAGTAAGGTAAGAATGTAGGTGATTGCATTTATTGTGAATTTAAGACTTTATTATGGAAATTGATCGACCATTTAACTTGACTTAATTGACTTAAGCGAATTTAAGACTTTATTATGGAAATCGATCGACCATTTAACTTGACTTAATTGACTTAAGTGTTGAAGTGTTTATGAGAGATATACACCCATGCGGTTTGGAGTTAGAATAAAAAGAACCCGAGAAAACCTTGTAACAAAAAACTTAGAAGAAAAATGTGAAGAAATTATTGATTATGAGATCTAACCACATACCCGAAACACTTAATATTACTAAATTTTGAGTTTAAGTATACACTGTAAGTTATTCACTTTTGACCAGCTGTTTTAATAACTTAAAGGCCAAGTATTAAAATTTCGAGTAAAACATTTATAATATTTTTTCTTAAAATTATAATAAATTTTAATTATTTACCTTTATGCATCACAACAATCAATACCATTCAACTCAGACTTTTAAATAATTTTGACTTGATTTTTTGAAAAGTTTTTCTAATCTTTATTTTTTACTTTAACAATTTTCCATTTTAAAAGAATAGAAAACATTCAATATAAAACTTTAATCTCCAAAAAAAAAAAACAAAAAACTTCCTTTCTATCCCTTTTTTTTAACCAAATGCTATAAATTAAGAAGAAAATCTCATAAATGGTTTCCTCCTCGCAAACACATTGAAAACGATGCCCAGAACATGCGTGCCGTATTTGATTTCAGAATTGAGGAAGGTACATAACTTTTTGGAGTTAGAATTTTTATTTTTTTTAGTTACTTCTTCAATTAGAGTTGGTGGAAAAAAATATCAAAACCATTAACTAAAAAAATTATCATTGACTATACGAATAAGACACGTCTCTACAAAAAGATGTTGATATAAACAAATTCATTAATTCGTTTATAATTAATTTTTATTAGAAAATTGATCAGTCACTTTTGGTGAGATAATCTGGAATCGCCTTAAGTTGATAAACAACTTACAAAAGAACTAGGAATATTAAAATAAACCCGAAAGGCACTTTAAAAATGTTATAGACAGTGTTCCACAGAGTATAAAAATTGGTTTCGTGTCCTCAATCTTCATGATAAATTATGTCAACGGAAACTTTACTTTCCCAGTATTTTTTTTTTTAAATTTCTAGCGTTAGCAATCAGCATGTGGTCCTGATTGCCAAAAGCTTCTGGACCATCAAAGAATTGATGGAGCTTTTGAGAAAGAAGAAGCAGTAGTTGAGGATATTTGTTCCTTTATCCACATGGGGTCCATTTCCACCCCAATTCCTTCACACCTCAGACACTTCTAACAGATAATAACAATTAACTCAGAGAGATCTTAGGTGGAATGAGTGTGATTTTCACTAGCATTTCCTTTTATATGAATTCTAGCTATTAGAATGGAAAAAGGAACCATACAAAATAGAAGGATAGGATTTGCACCATCATTTATCATGCATGTGCACAACTACACTCTCTGGATTAGTAAACAAAAGCAGGATTCAATATGCCAGAAAGATACAACATGACAAAGGAAAGAAAATCCACCAATAAATTACCCTTCGATCTTAAATGGGTGTAGGCCAACTCTTCTGAATTTCAAAGTAGTAATTTGTGTCCAAGTAGCTTTTGCGATCATCATCTACAAACTGAAACAGAAAAAGAAAATTAGTTAGTTCTTCCAACAAAAAACAACATATAGTGAAGTAGTTTGAATTTTACCTTGGTTCTTGCTGAATAGGTTCCCCTAGCGAATAACCCTGAAGGGGTAGTTTCTTCTTCCAATTCATACGTATATGGTTCCTGCCTTGGGCTGTAAGTTCCCAACATTTTTTTGGTGTTGTCCACTGTTTCAATTAGTTCATGAAAGCCATTAAGATAATTCAAAACATAGATGTTTAATTACTCTACAACAAGACACAAAAGGGGATCTATGTCTCACCTCTAACCCCAGTTTTCCAAACAACATTGGTGTATTTGAGGCCGGAAACAATGTTGTTGGAGACAGTGAAGGAGAATTTCAAGCGGTATTGACTTCCTTCCTTGAGAATGAAGATACTCTTCTTCGCATCAGAAGTAAATGGAATTGGTAAAATCAGCTCAGGCCTCCCTGGGCATATTATGGTGAGGCTCACTATCTTCACTTCTGGCTCTTTGTTCTCTGAATTACAATACAAGAACTTTTGCCTTTAAGATTTTTCATGACTCAAAAATAGTGAGCTGAAATGAAACTTAATGATACAAATATTGTTGAAATAAAAAGTAAAATTAAACAATCCTAGGCTTTTGCCTACCAAGGAGCAATACTTTTCACCAAAAATTGTTATAAAACAAGTTGATTCAAGAGATTGAGCTAAACAAAATGATTATCATGTGAATAAAAAAAGGAGAGCATTGCTTTATGTGAACAAAGAAATTAAACTGGAGGAAGAGAACAACCTTCAACAAGAGTTTTCAATACAGATGCACCATAATGTCACATCATCTCAAAATGAAAAGGGAAGTACCTCCAACAGCAGACACATCAATACTTCCCAGAAGCTGTTCTTTCCATTTTCTTAAACTTTCATCATCCTTAGGAAAACAAAAAGGAAAAAATTGTTGAATTATTGAACAGCTTTCATCAATGAACAGTTGGAAGCATAACAAACTAATGAAAAGCAACTCAGGGCAGTGAAGAAACATTCGGAGAAAGGATGTTACTTTGTCTTTCTCAATCTGTTCTTTGAGGGAAAACTGAGGGCCAAGATCCAATTTCAACTTGGGGTCATCCTCTGCCTCTGACTCAGTTCCTTCCGCATCCTCAGTGTAAGGAACACGGTCTGCTTCCCCAACAACCTTGTTATTGGTTCCTTTGTTTTTAAGGTCTTCCTCCAACTGAGAATTGAAGGGAACATCCTTGGTTGCGGAAACAGCAGCAGACATTATCAACCTCCAAATCACAAACACAGTGGTGTCTCAAATTTGATTGACACACTTCCAAGTTGTGACAAATTTAGAGCTCTCTTGGCTATGCTTTGCGATAATTCTGTCTGACAGGCTTCAATTCAGAGGTTTGTTATGTGTAAGAAATTACTAGCTGTTGAATTTGAGATAAGGAAACAGTGTGACACGGTGAATGTGGGCCTGAAATACAAGAAGGTAACGAAAAACGGTTGGAATAAAGTTGGTAGGGAACCACTAATGATGGAGAAGTTTATACAACCAATAAACTCAGATCCCGTTATCCAGTATTTTATTACCAATAAGAAAAAAAACAATTACCATATTTAAAAAGCAATTATTACAACATTTATAATTGTTAATAGTAGACTCAATATGCATAATAAAGAGTACGAACTAATAAGGTTATTTAAACCTCTTCATTATTGAAAAAATATGTGTTTATTTGGACTATATTTATTTACTATAACTAAATTTCAATAGTTTGGTACTTTATTATTTATTATTTTGTTACTATTTATTATATTGTTATTATACTTTTAAGGTAAGTATTATTGTAATAATAAGCCAATAGTCCATATTGATCCTATAAATATAACTAGTATTTCTCAAGAAATGTTCACTTGATAAACAATCACTCTCACTCTATTTTAAAATATCATAACTTTCTTACTAACTTGAGCGTCGAAAAGTCTTTTGCATGTGGATCTCCCTCCTCTCAACAGCAGGAGGCCCTTTTAAGACAAAATGAACAATCAAACCACCATTAAAATCTTGCCACCTTTCCACAAGTCCACGCTCAACATCAAGGTAAGAATATTAGCGTCCACTGTTGGGCCTCGGTAAAATGCTTCCTCGGCCTCATATTCCCATGGTCACCACACACTAACCCAACGACGACATTACAACATCAAATGCAGATGTGTTAAGACAAGATCATCTAAACAAACCTTGTTTTCAAGTTTAACATAACTGTCTAATGAAATAACGTCTATCAAATAAACTATCTAGGATATACACACTAAATGCCATATGTGTAAACACTATCCTAAAGGCTAAACGTTATTCAAAACAGACTTTTCTAAACGCTAGTACACATACTATGCATAAACTCTTAAGAACGTCTAACGCTTTCAACGTATGTACGAAATAGTACTCTCTTTTTCTAATGTTTATTGTACACATACGATGCCTAAACACTTAAGAACATTTAACGCTTTCAAACGCATGTACGATAGTTTCCTTAATGCTTTTTGTCTGATGCATCCGTATTAGCAGCACAGTTGCCTCTACAACAAGAAACATAGCATCTGACTTCGTATCTAAAGGCTACCCATATGTGAACGTAAATACTCAAAGTGACGAATCTTTTTCAAAAAAATCTATATAAAGAGGTATGCATGAAGAGAAGACAAAAAGCATCAAGAATTATTATTGCTCTTACGCTACGCTATCTTCACTCTCTCTCAAGCTTACATTATCTAGACTTTCTCTTTGAAAAAGAAAAGCTTTATTACAATATTTCAAATCTTCATTATATTGAAAAATATATCCTCCCTACGAAAGTAATCATCTATACTTGTTTTTCAAAAACACTTTGTGGTTTTGTATATTCTGAAGTGAATTAAAATATTTGTTAGTGTAACTCAGTGAAGTTAAACGTTCTAGTCAGTTGGACTAGTACAAAACCAGGAATGGTGAAACTCGTCTAATTAGTTGGGTTGTTTTGTAAAACAGAGACTAGTCAAACTCATTTGTAATCTTTTAAAGATCAGTGGAATCCCTCAACAGTGCTTAAAGGACAACTAGATGTAGCTCAGTTTAGAGTGAACTAGTATAAAAATAAGTCTTCATCATTACTTTCGTCTTAAAAAGCTTTCTAAACGCTTATGAAAATATTTAAATGTTCAACACTTTGTGGGTAGGATCTTCTAAAATTTAGGTCAAATTCTCTCCAAAGAGCGAAGAATGATAAGGAATCATCAAGTGATACAAATTTAGGGACACATCCTCTTCAAGAAGGAGGATATGATGGAGAACTATCTCTTGAACATATATGAGAAAAACTTGAGGAAGACCGTTTGCAATTCAAAAGATATGTGATAAGGTTAAAGATCAAGCCACGTCTCCTTAAATCTTATAATGTTCCATGAAGGAGAGAACTTAAAGAACATGAAGATCATGACACAAATGAAGAATAATTTAGGAAATTAAATAAATTGTAATTTTATTTTAATTTTATAAAATGTTAAATTTGTAGGGCAAGCATGTCTCGTTAGGCGAAAGTCTACGTCTGGAATTTTTTGTTTTCTGTAATTTTTATGTGTTTTGAGTTTTGGGCTTTATTTTAGGATTTTTAGGTTTTTTTAAACTTATGTGCCTATATATAGAGGTAACAAAAGCTTATGTAAACACTTTTGAGTCATATTATACGCCTTTACATTATTTAAGAGAGAATTTTCTTGGTTTTTCGATTAGAACTCTAATTCTTATGAAAGATTAGCGAATCTACACTTGACTTATCAATTTGTTAGATTGTGGCGTCTCATTCTTATCTTATTTCACAATCTTGTTTGATTTATTTTTGTTGTATCTCTTGAGGATTCAAATTCAGAAACGATCATACTCTTTCCTAGATAGAATCGTATCAATAGCTCCACAATCCATGTTAATCCTATAAATACAATTGATATTCCACTCGAAAGACAAACTCATTCTCATACTCATTACTTTATTCTCATATATCCTAAAACTCTCTTACTAACTTGAGTATAAGAGAGTCTTTTGTAGGTGGATCTTCTCTCATGATCTAACCCTTAGTAGTACACTCTAGAGATTTCAAAGCCACTTGGATCACGCCACTTGTTCACAGGACCACACTCAGGACCTTGGTAAGAACATTTGATGCCCAAGTACCTAAAAATCACTAGAAGAGGGGGTTGAATAGCGTTGATGGAAAAATCTTTTCGCAACCCTTCTAATATAGCACGTTCGTCAAGTATAAGATTTATGAAGTAATTGTTAGACGCTCGACTTGTAAGTGATTATAAACGATAATTTCTTTTCACGTGATATTTAGAATATATATATATATATATATATATATATATATATATATATTTAGAGTCTTTAAGAACTTCCTTAGTTAAAGAACAATCGTTTAGTATGAGAAGATTCTTGTTTTGTACAACTAAAGTGCAACTGCAAGTTTATAAAAGAAGCATTTAGGCAGAGGTAAATAATAAATGCACAAATTTTTTTATACTGGTTCACTCCAACTGAGCTATGTTCAGTCTCCTCTATCCACAGAGGGTTCCACTATAATCTTCAACAAGATTACAAGTGAGTATTCTCACCACTCTTGGTATCCTTATATTCTGGTATCCACCGATACGCTGTTGAGTTTCACTCACTTCTAGTTGTGCAATATTCTTCACCACTCATGGTATTCCTAGTCAACAAATAACCTTCTGTTACCATAGACTGGTTGAGTATTCACACCATTCCAGGTACTAGACAATCGTTTTATCCTCTACAGCCTAGATTTCCTTAATTCCTTAGAGTTTCAACAACAAGTGTTTTAATTCTCTTCAAAATTGAAATCAATGATTGCTTACATGTCGTTTAAACTATTACTCTTGTAAAGAGGATATATGTACAATACAATACAATCTAGAGACTCGCTGGGTGTTTCTCTCTTTTCTTGTTTTCTCTCTTCTTACAATAGTAAGTAAATATTACAATGAAACTCGAGAGTGTTGCTTAACTATTCTTCTTTTTCTCTACTCAGATATTTTCTTTTTCTTGAGCTTTTTTATGTCTCTTTTAAACGTTTTTTGTAGGATGAATATTTTCGTTGTAAGCTTTTCTCTTGTGTTATCCTATTGTTTCTTCCTTTGTGTGATCTTCTATTTAAAATCTATTTGAAATAATATTTGTTAGACTGAGCTCTTGGCCTTGAATCTTGTGTCTTCTCTTTCTTTCGTGTGAAGCAATCGTTGGTTAAAGTTAACAGAGCAGGTGTGCTTTTTTAGTACTTTGCTTGAAGTAGGTTGTACTTTCTTTTAGACATTTCTTCTTATGAAGAGAATATTTTGTAAATGTCTCTTTTGTTTCTAACTTCCACTTCTAATATATTTCAAATAAAGTAGTAGATGTGTGTAATAGGCTATCTGCAAGGAATAAAGTAGATTGTGCATGCAGTAGATATGTCTTATCTCTTATTACTTTTTTTGTTTTTGAATGTTAGGCATTTAATAACATTTAATGTTTGTTTAGAACAACAAAGTGTTTTTTCAATTTTCTACTGTTGAAGTAGCTATTAAACTGATATTTTTCGCCTAAAATCAAAAACAAACTAAGTTTCCCCACTAATGAAATATAGGGACAACCTAGGTATCAATCCAAAGACTCGACTAGAATTAAGTTTAAAGTGTTTGATTAATTCTTGCTTTTATTTTGTAAATGTGGGGAAAAGAAATTAAACAAATAAATTAAAAAGAAAAGAATAAAGAAATCAAATGAAAATAAGAAAAGATATCTGTTTAAAAAGAAAAGAAGAAATAAAATGTAGGAAAATAAAACCTAAGCTAAAGTGATGAAAAGATTGAATCTAACTAATCATACAAATGAAAACAGTGGCTATGAAACAATGATACAAGAAAAACGGGAAACAACTGGAAACTGGAAATTTGAACATTTAAAGAGAAAGAAGATTTAATGCATATAACAGATGTGTAGAGTTACGAGTTCAACTCGATTTCTCAAAACATAACAAGTGCAGGAATCAAAAGCAAAGAACAAAATCGAAACGCAAATAAGAAATGAGAAAGAAAGACGAAATTGAACTTTATTAACATGAACAAGAAATTCACATACTACCGAACTCACCAAACCACTCACAATTGTCACTCTCGCGAGCTTCAAGGTGAAATCCAGTAGCCAAAAACCCTACTTCTACGAAAGCATACAAATCCTATTCTAAAGAGCGTAAACCGTGAAGTCTGTGTGTAAAGTGTAAAGGTATCTCAAGTTTATTACAGAAACCCCTTTATATAGGGTCTTAAAAGAAAAGAGAAAAGAAAGAGGAAAAGTAAAGAAGGAAACTTGCTTTCCTCACTTCAAGCTTTTGATCGGACGACCAGCCTTCTTTGCTCACACTGTTATCATCTTTGTCCTCCGATCAACTTGAACGGGCAGCTCCGGCATCTTCTACCTTATTACCG